TTTTTTTTTTTTTTTTTTTTTTTTTTTTTTTTTTTTTTTTTTTTTTTTTTTTTTTTTTTAGACAATTGAAAATTTTGGATCAATTTGCCAGTTGACATTTTTTTTTGTTGGCATGCAGGTTAAATTTTTTTTTGTTAGGCCAACAATAGGATTACAACCTAACCCAAATCTTAAGATTATTGCAAAAATTAAGAATATTTAATGTTTGTAACAGTGGTGAGTGGTTAGTGATGTGTTGTGATTAATTGATGTTTGATTTTTAAAATTTATGAAATTTTAGTTATCAATGTAACATGTTCGAAAATTAGGATTTTTAAATAATAATAATAAAAGAAGAACGACCCCCAACTCAACTTAACCAACTAGAAAATAGAGGCTGGAATGAGTTGGATTGTAAACTCTATTCGGGTTGTTCAAGTTACTAATCCAATCCATTCGAAATTTTAGGTTGGTCGAAAAGATTTTCCTAACCTAACAAGTGTACAACCGAACAATCCATTATCTATTTAAGCTTCCATTTAAAAATAAAAATTGAATAGGGTATTTATGGCATGTGTATTTTATTTATTTATTTTTATTTTTGGAACATGAAGATTCTAATTTGGGATTGTTATTTTATTTTGGATTATTGAAAGATTTGAATGGAGACAAAAGGTGATATTAATTAAGATGTATGATTATTGCTTAATTATTTGCTAACCCCTACTTACTTTTCTTTTAATTTTTTTAATTAGCCTTTGCTTTTAGCCCACACATGCATGTTCCCCATTGTTGTTTCCCTTTTAGCTTACAATTCCAAAAGGCCTATAAAAAAAAAAAACACACACACACACAATTTAATTCTAATTCTAATAATAATAATAAAATAGAAATGGGCTTCTATTGTACATTCACAAAAGCCCATTTATAGGCCCAAGGTCCACTATTCACAAGGCCCATTATCGGATTCAACTCAATTGTTTGGATGGTAAATTTTTCGAACTAAACACAACTCAACCGAATCGAGCTATAAAGTTTTTGGATTAAGTTGGTTCGTATTGTTCAGAACCTTGAGCTTACCATGATACTCATATTACTAGGTACCTCATTATTCAAACTCACATTTTGTCCTAAATTACTATACTATGAAAAGAGTAGATTGTGACTCTCACATTGCGACAAGTCAAACAGTGACCTTTAAGTGGCGTTCATCTGACTACGCGAGAGCCTAGACAAATATCATGATGTGACTAAGGAGAATGTTGCATTATCTAACACATCACACTGAGTGGGCATTGAAGAGAAGACGAGATATAAGCAAGATAAGGACCATGAGTAGACAGAGTGTCAAAGATTGACTTGTAGAAGGGTTGGGTAGGACCCTAGGCCTTAACCTTGATAGTTGGGGTTCTAAAAAGAATTTGGGCATGCAATTCTGGAGTTAAGTTCATCCATATGAAGTATGAATGCTTGCCAAATTTGATGTCAATCGAAAATTGGACGGACACTCCACGACACTGTATGACCGTTCGTCAAAATGACGTCTACTCGAGAAGAATTGAAAATCCCTCAAAATGTACCTTAGAGGGAGGCGTGGTGTTAGCTCTCTACCACCCCTAAGTCCTGTAGCATAAGCAAGCTACCCTGTGCCATGCGTGTGTCACAATGGTGACGAGTGTCTCGGTTGACTTCTTTTAAAATGGGTCTTTCAAAGACAAAACCGAACAGCACGAGTTAGATTGTTCTTTGAAGAAATTTAGGGTCTTTCTATTGTTACTTCTCTTTAAGATCTTCATGAAAAATATCATACTCGAGCTCTACAATTTATTGGAATTATTGGAATAGGAAAGACACCAATTTTGGCTGAATAAAAAACACAAAAATTTGAATTTCTCAAGCTCTTCTTCTGGCCGGTATAAAAACCAAGTGCAATGAACGTCCCTTGTATGTCTAGCATGTTTTATCTTATGAGTTCACAATTCTCATTGCAATAGCATAGTCTAGTGGTGACAAGACTCATCTAGGCTCGTGATAAATCTCTCAGCTTTCTTGGTCTCCGTGTCAACAAGTTCTCGGGCGAACCTTTACAATCTCGTGAACTCTTGCTTAGAAACCTCCACTAGTCGACCTCCCTATTGAAGCTTCATGAATTATGATTATATCATGTGTCGGATGACGATAGGGTAGTACTTCTTCTTGATGGCCTCCTTGAACTATGCCCAACTTACGTGATCATTGCTCGTGAATACACACATACATGATTTCCCATAAAACAAGAACGTATAATCCAACTCATGATATGTTGTTATGACTATTCATGTAATGTTATCATTTTTTCCATGGACAACATTCCCAACAGTATGACCAACATTATTGATAGGGAAATCACTACAAGGAAAGTAAGATCTAGATTATCTTGTTGATTGAATATTTAAGACAAAAACATTTGTTTGAGATTCAAATTACTCCATAAGCAAGATCGATCATTTCTAGCTTGAATGATTCTTATTGATCAAATATCTCAAGACAAGAACGCTTGTTTGATATTCGAATCACTCCACAAGTAAGATTGATCATGTCGAGCTTGAATGATTCTACCTGCAACCTAAACTACATAGAATTGTAAAGAAACTTAGCTATTGACTAAAGAAAAGCACAAATGCTTCTTTTACTATATTTTTCAAGGCGCCTTACAAATATAACATACATGGCTTTATAAAGCTTCAAAATGAAACTATGACATTCCAAGAATTAGTAAATTCATACTTTATAACCATAATTAACCATTATGTAATTGTAACTAAAGTAAATAAAAGTAAAATATATTAATGAAATACAATAACTCTAAATTACTCTAAATTGTAATTTACCCAAAATTTATAACATGAAACTTCGTTCTTGTTCAATGTGGCATGAATTGAAATATCTTTTGATAATTTCAACCGCATTTTTTCACATCTTCATTGAAATATATTGTTGTATGATTGATGTTTTTTGGTTCATATCACTCTCCACTTCTTAAGGAGGATTCGTTCTCGAATTTATTTGTGAAACTTTGCTACAAAAATAAGTTATGGAAATACAAAGAACCTCACAACACTCTCTCATGTGTATACACTCAAGGAATTTGAAGCCACTTTGCACTCATTTACATGATGAAGCTCTTATTCTCACCTCTCAAAATTTTAAATAGAGCAAAGATTGAATTTTAAACTCTGGGTCAATTAAAAACTAAAAAAATAAAAATAAATAAAAAATCACATTGAGAAAAAAAAAAATACAAAGGAAACATGTATTTGATCTTGAGCCTGAAGCTCGGATACCAAATGATATGGAATCACTACAAGGGGAGTAAGATTCAGATTTTCTTGTTGATCGAATATCTCAGTTTGAGATTCAAATCACTCCACAAGCAAGATCGATCATGTCTTACTTGAATGATTATTGTTGATTAAATGTCTCAATGTAAGAACACTTGTTTGAGATTCGAATCACTCCACAAGCAAGATTGATCATGTCAAGCTTTTTTGATTCTACATGCAACCTAAACTAGATAGAATTGCAAAGAAACTTAGCCATTTGCTGAAGATGACACAATATCTACTATTCAAAAGTGTAAATAGATCTAAAAATATTATTACTCAAAGAAACGTTAAGAATGAGAAATAAAATTGAGATCGAAGGTTCAATCTTCCTTGATATTCACAACGTTTAAATAGGATACAAGCTACCCAATAATACCTACAAATAAGTAAAATATAAACTAACTCAATTTTGAGAATAAAATAAAATATACTACTAATCAAATCATAAAGGAAAAATATTAACGAATTACGAATATCTAACATATATTCCATAACTAATATATTCTCAAAATATTAACGGATTACAAATATCTAATATATATTCCATAACTAATTCAAACTAGCAATAAGTTGCACTAAATTCTGACAGCCTCCCTTAGTTCAAGCTTATTTATCAATAACTCCAAGAACCTTATGAAAAACTTCAAACTTCACATTGGCAAGTGCCTTAGTAAATATGTCTACAACTTGCTAATTAGTATGTATTTTCTGCAATTCAACATCCTGCAATAACACTTTCTCTCGAACAAAATATAATGAGTTTCAATATGTTTCGATTGAGCATGAAACACCGGATTTCTAGCAAGTTTTATTGCACTTTTATTATTATAATTAATTTGAATTGGCTGATTGAGAGTAGTCACCATTTCGTGAATAAGCCTCCTGAGCCACAAACATTCTTGAGTAGCCAATGTAGCAGCTACATATTCTACTTCACAACTTGACAAAGCAACGATGCTTTGCTTTTTACTGCACCATGAA